GACCCCAGAAACCAGACTCCTTTAAAGTATCCATGCCTGCCATAAGCTGAGAAAGAATCCAAATCCTCAGAAATGGTCTTCAAAGCCTTTATACCGCTGGTGATGGTGAAAGTAACCCAGATGCCTGACAGAGCTCAGCATGAGCCATAGCGTACCCAGCATGAGCTGAAGCACACAATTACTTGTTGGAGTAAAATGCAGCATTGAAAGACAAAGTTATGGAGACTGTGTCGCCCCAGAGAGAGGGCTATGACAAAATACTAGTTTAAAAAATTAAGCTCAAATTTTAGTGTACAGTGTGATCACAACCATGTGAAAGGTGAGGCTGGTTAGAAACACCTTTGTGGGTGTCATTGGGCTGGGGTATTGGGACTATGAGGTACAATGTGGAAGTTTTCCCTTTGTCTTCTGAATTTCTAGTAATTTTTATATGTTTTGTTAATTATTTTAGTAGAAAAGAAATTCCATTTTATTTTTGGTGTCCTTGGCAAGCAGTGACTGGGGTGTTGGACAAAGGTGGGCTGCAAGCCAGCTCTGACTGTCAGTGCCCGTGGTGCTAGCACTCATGGTAGAATGGATCCTCCTGCCACCCTTTAGTGGGAAGCCAGGAGTGCTTCTCTTAGACTAAGTTACTGCCATAGGACCCCAGCAGCCATTCCCAGCAGAATGGCCACTCCTCAACATTGGCCCAAGGAACCTGCTTTTTCAGCACAGCTCCTTATTTTAGTTAAAATGCATAATGCAGAAGATAAATTGTAGCACAAGAACTCAAGCGTCTCTGCTTCTGACATTCATGCTGCTAATTAGTTTCTGCTTAGTGTTATATTCCATCTTCTCTGGTTTACTTTGAAAAAATACATAAATGTAAATACGTTTTTACATACTCAGATTTGCACTCAGTATTCACAAGCAGATGTACAGTTTCATTGTCTTCCCTGACGTGTCACCAATGCCTCGATGCCACAACCACATCATGTTGTATTTTATTCCTACAGCACTGTAGATGCAAGTCTGCTCAGAAAAGGCCCAGTTAAACACAAAACCTTCAAAATAACAAGCATCTAATCCAAATATCAGTGCCATCACAGTGGTAAGAATTATCACCACCCATCAAGCCCCTCCCCTACGCAGGGGTATACATTCATAAAGATCACTTACATGTGTGAATAATAAAAGATGGTTGACATTCGTGGGCTCCTGGAGGGATGGTGCATTGCCAGGGTCCCACAGCTGGGATTTCATCCCAGGCCTAACTCCAGAGCTCAGAATTGAAGCTGAGTTGAATGTTAGACTTTGATACATAACTTTTTCTCAGCTGACATTTTTACAGAGCAAGTCTGCTCCCTTTCCTTTGAAAACCACTAATATTCTTTGAACTTCCAAGGGTAGCCTGCCTACCTGGTTCCCTCTGATGTCTGGAGACAGATGTCCTGTGGGCTGCAGCTGAGGCAGTCACTTGACTGCCCTTCATCCCTTACCCAAGGTTAGCCTTGAGGTGTCAAGGCTGCTAGGGGATGTGACAACAGATTTTCCTTATTCTGCTCAATCCATGTTCAAATTGCCAATGAGTTCTTTACCCAGACACCTCTGGTGAACATTTACCATGTAGCATAAATTACTCTTGTTTATTGACAGACTCCTTTCCAGCAAGAGGTCAATTAACTTGTTACACTTGAATATATAGGTTTCAAACTAGATGAAATTATACAAGTGTGAGTTCCCATTATTAGCTGTCATTCTGTTGTGAAAGAACCCAGCTCCTAATCCTGCGAGCGTTCTCTTCCCAAGTCAGCTCTTGTTTCAGCACCCTTTCAGCACCCGTCCATCTCAGAACCGCACACTCCTACCTGGCTGACTGTGGCAGCTGGTCTCCTGTCTGCAGGCTCTGGGGACTAGGGAGAACTCCCTAAGACACTGTCTACCCATTTATGTCACTACCCTGCTTCAAACCCCCCAGTGTCCCCATCAGCTTGTGACTTCAGGCATTCCCAGTCCTTTGTGCCTGCCCATCACTCATGATTCTGGTCTTCTCAGGACTCTCACAAAGCCAGGTCGCCAATGCCATGTGTTTGCTCTGTTACACCTTCCAGGCTAACTCCCTGTCCTCCACCAAGGAACTGGCCTTGAGCCCCCTGGCGCACACCAGGCCAGCTCCTCACCTTCTGCCTCACTGCTGCAGCCCCCCACTAACACTCACCATACCTGATTCTCCGTGCTCCTGGCCCCTTGACAAAGTGGGGAGGCTGGAGTGAGGAGTCACCCTGTGGTCCAGCATGGTGAAAATGTGGCTGCTGCCCTGAACCTGAGCTCATACCCCAGGACTCTTGCTTGGGGCTGTCTGCTGTGGCTGGGCACCAGCCTTAATCCAGTTACTACTGGAATTGTTACAGAGCAAATTGTTACTGTCTCCCTCTCAGTGGAGTGAATGTTTTCATTGCAGAGGATACACACATCAGAGGCCCAGGAAAGATAGGGCTCTTTTTCATTCCCACCTGCCTCTCTCCCTGGGATGGGCACAGGCAAGGGGCACACAGCCCCCAAGCACAGAAAAATGTAGTCAAAATTTGGAGTAGGGTTTTGGGGTCCCCTGGCCTCTTAGGAGACCTGACTTCAGATGATTTGTTTCTTGTTTCTCATGTGACTTGTGCAGATGACCCACAGGCCTCCTCTCTGTAAGCCCACAGTGTCACAGTCCCAAGGGATGGTGTTGAGATGTCCTTCCCAAGACTCCTAGACCTATGCAAGCTGCATGTCACATGTACCACGTGTAGGTTTGACTCTGCCAAAAGTACAGGACATTCTTAAATGGTGTCTTGGCTTTTCAGGTAAACTGTTTCCCACATCTTGAGAGTTTGCTTTGTCAGTGACAAGTGGAAGCAGGTGGTGTAGACTGTGCATGAGATCACTTATCAGAGTGGCCAGTGAACCCCGAAGCTTCGGGTCTGTAGGCCTCCCTAAGACCTTCTGGTCTTCTAGCCCCAGGCCCTGGTGTCTGTGTCTGTCATGGCCAGGTGTCAGCAGTAAGGCCTCCTGGGGATGACTCTGTTTGTCCTTCACAGCCCTGTGTTCTTCATAGATGGCTCTGCTTGGTCACAGCATTACCAACAAATGTATCTGCATTGTTCCTCCACAAAGTGAAGTCACCACCATGGCTCCAGTGTCCTGGATGGGCCCTGTGAAATACACCCCCCACACACACACACACACACACGCATCTATGAGATTCACTTCCTTATCATAATCAAGTAATTGATACATTAACAGAGCAATTAGCTCCTAGTCAAGAATTCTAACATTTTAGTGCCACAATTTAGAATCAGGCCAAATTTGTCAAGTGACTGAAAGTAAGGTTTTTCGGAAATTATTAGCTAATTTTCTCAATGTAGGATTTATAGTCACAATTAGTATATCATAATGATGTTTCCAGGATTTAAAAAAAAAAAAAAGTAGCTCAACTTTTCTGGCCACAAATGTATAACATATATCAGTTTATTTTTGGAGATCTGAAAAATTAGCTACTGTAAATAAAGTCCCCAAGAAGTTTTTTCCGGGAAAGAGGTGAGCTTACAGTAATATGGTTGATATATTAATTAATAACTGTGACCAGCCACAGTTTCAATTAAAAGGACAGTGGATGAGGAGGCCTAGTAGAAAGGGTGTGCTGAGTTTTAATCGCACAGGCCTGAGGTTTGTTGGAGCCAATAGGGAAGGTGGCTTCCGGGATGATAAGGAGGAATGTCCCCACGCAGCTTGGTCTGGACAGTCTTACCAGGCACCAGTGATATATCTCTCTTGGGCAGTACTCCTTTGGTTTCCCATAATGGAAAGCTGCTTCAGAATAGCTTAAGATGAAGAAAGAACTACTGGGAAAGCCTCCAGTTCTCCCAGATCCCAAGGAACTGGGATGCTTCACCTGGGGCTGAGGAGTCAGCCCCTCAACCTTGAGCCAGGTCAGACAGGTTACTGTGTTTCCCTCTGTTCAGAGGAGGGAATCTGGCTGGTGTGTTTGCCCCAAAGAACAGGCACAGGAAGTATAGACCAGCTGTAAGTGGGGAAAAGCAAGAAGCAGGTTTCTCTGACAAGCCACACACAGTGTGTCAGTCCCACACAACGAGGGTACCTGGAAGTATAGCTGTGAAGCTGCCCAGGAGGCACCAGGTGAGCCAGTTGGCCAAGGATGGGTAAGGGTCTTCCATGCAGATTGGTGGGAAGGCCACCTGGGACAGGCAGGGAAGAGTCTGTGTAGAGCCCAGGGTAGCAGGTGAGAGGGCAGCACTGCAGAGTGGGCAGTGAGTAATGTGAAGCTAGACCAAGCAGCAATCCCAGAAATGATGCAGTTATTCTAAGGGGCAGAGAGGGACAGGAAGGAATTTGGACCTAGGTCAGATTTGTATTCATAAGACCTAAAACCTGAGGCCAGTCTGCTTTGTGAGGTGCCAGCATCCTGTGGTCCACAGAGCAGTACCCTCCCCATCCTTCCAGGATAGAAATGACCATGGGCCTTTGGGAGCAGCTGCTATGCAGAGTTGCAGAACTGAGATCCCCTCCAAACAGGACTCCGTGCACCTGGCAGAAGCAGGACCTTACTGTTGACCATGCTCCTTACTGTTGTTCCTTGATTTCACTTTAAGCACCGTTATTTTATTTTTAGAGTAATAATTTGGGATTACTTGGCCTTCCACATCATCATCCTATAGAAGAAACTCTATAAAGTCTTCCTAATATGGTACTCCCTTTGGTGCACTTCAGACTGGAATGGGGCACAACTAGCTGTGTGATTTTTTTTTTCTTTTTTACTGCATTTTAAATACAGATTATAATGAGAAAGCCAGCCAGTCCAGGGAAGGGCATTGCTACCCAGCCTCCACATGTTCCCATTCGAGTCAGGATAATAAGAGGAGGACGCATGGGCTCCCCCATCCCCATAGGTAACTCACCAGGACCCCTCAACACCACATCTCTCTCTGTCTCTCTCTCTCTCTCTCTCTCTCTCTCTCTAGGTCACGCAATATTTAAACTCACATATCTAAGCAATCACGACTATAAACACCTCTACTTTGAGTCAGATGCTGCTACTGTCAATGAAATTGTGCTCAAGGTGAGTATTCCCTCCTGACTCCCTGGTGGGCAGTGGGTCCAGCCCTGCCCTGTCCAGGCCTGTGCAGCCCCTTCCTCTCCAGGTGCTGGATCAGGCTCCTGGCCCAGCATTGCAAAGAAAGATCGGTGCGACTTCCTTGCCCAGCTGGTAAGTACCAGGCCCAGGGCCACAGCAGCCTGCCTGGAGCAAGGGCCCTGCATCTGCCTCAGTCAAAGTAAAGCCTCCTCCCTTTCACCTTCCTCCCAACTACCCCCCCACCAGCATAAACCTGGTTCTTCCAGATTTATTTGTGTCTTTCCTGCACCATTTGTTTTTCCCCAGCCACTGTTAGGAGCTCCTTTAGGTTCCTGGAACCAACTGAGGAAATGTTTATTGTTTTCAAAATGCCTCAATTGTACTTGAAGTGATTTTCCCAACCTGTTGTATATATACCAGCTCATAATAGGCTGTGCATTATCAAAACAAGCACCTTCCATGTGCCAAGCTGATGCTCAGAATGCCACAGTGTTGTGCCAGTACATGTCTCCACATTGCTCTGCCTTTGTCAAGGGAGACAGAAAGAAAGAGAAAACTACAGAAACCTAACAGTCACGGAGGTGCCATGTGACTCGGTGTGGGAGAGGGAACAGAGAGTGCTGAAAGGGAATGATTGGCTAGAAGAGCCAATTCATAGGTCTGGGGACGTCGCTAATAGTAGAGCTAACCACCATGAGACCCTGAGTCAAACCCCAGTACTGCCAAAAAGAAGGTAGAGGAGAAAAGCAGATCATAGCAGCCTGAGAAGGGGCTGAGGCAGGCATGCGTGGATAGCTGACAGACCAGAGGGGCTGGGCCACACAGCTTGGCAAGGTGGTGTCCACCTGAGAGCATCCTGCCTGGTGTGGGAGTCTCCTGAGGCCATGTTGATGCATGAGCTCTAGGGAAGGCCGTGGGGTTGTACATTTCACACCAGACATTGCCTGGGCTGCTGATCCATGCATCACACTCTGAGTAGTCCAGGATCCTTCCAAATTGAGAATCCTCTCCTGAGCCAAATCTTGTCAAGTTTGACCAGATAGAGAAAACAGACTGTTCTGACTGAGGAGGGGTTACACCCAGACAGGACTACCCCACCCCCCAGTTGGATGGCCCTGGCTACTCACAGCACCTCCCTAAGCCTTAGTTTCCCCACTCCCAAAGTGGGGGATCATGGTTTCTATGCCCACCAAAGGGCTGCTAGGGTACAGATCAAGTGAGATTTGCTTACCCTCCCTGCATCATTCTCTTCTTAAGAGAGAAGTCATTAGGTACTAATAAAAGCAGTCAAGGTACCCTGTGGTACCTTGACTACCAAGTGCTAAACCCAGGCTAAAGGCTTTACACATCCAGTCGCACTGAATCTCACAACTCTGAGATAGCCAGATAAAAAGTTCCCATTTCCCAGATGAAAATGAGGCTCAGAAAAAAAGTAACTTAGCAGCCAGGCTCCAGTGGCTCATGCCTGTAATCCTAGCTACTCAGGAGGCAGAGATCAGAAGGATCACGGTTCGAAGCCAGCCTGGGAAAATAGGCTATCTTGAAAAAATCCTTCACAAAAAAGGGCTGATGGAGTGGCTCAAGGCATAGACCCTGAGTTCAAACCCCAGTACAGCCAAAAAGAAGTAATTTATCCAGGATGGTGACGGTGAGTTAGCAGAACCAGAACTGGACCCTAAGTCTGGCAGATCCAGAACTTAAGCTCCTAATTCCCCAGGTGTGTGTAGCCTTCAGGAACTTAAGTAGGGTATTTCAATGCAATGGAATTGGTTTACCTGGAACATTCTGAGACACAGACCCCCTGGCTGCAAAAATCTTCAGCAGTAGGAGATAGGAGTCAAAGGAGAAAGCTGCTGGGAACACGGTTTGATGCTGAGGCACAGTGGTACAGCAGGTGGATGAAAGGTGTGAAAGGTGCTCATAAAGTACCCTGACCAGAGGGTGAGACCAGAGCCCCACCTGCAAGTGCTGGCCAGACCACAAGACAGCTAAGGGATTTGTGCCAGGTGTTTGGGGAATAAGTAAAGAAATATTCCAGCATCCCAGAAAAAGGCTGGTTGTATTTTTATAGCCAGCATTAAAATATTCAAGACTTTTGAAGGAGTCTAGTAAAATTATAATCCTGTGTTTGACATCAAAATAATTTTCACAACAGATTGATGACAGAAACACAGGTTTATGACTTCAGTATGAGACCGTGAAGATCAAGTGCAAAGAAATCATTTCATAGGACCAAATGCTCCCTTGAAGCAGATGCTTTTCCACAGACTCTCTGAGGCTGTCGCCTCCCCTGAAATGTCTGTTTGCCTCTCAAAATGTTTGCAGAAACAGCGGATTGTGCGAGAGACTGGGAAAGTGCAGCAGGCCCATGCCTGATGGACATGAATGGTCATGCTCCTGATGGAAGACTAAACTTCACTTCCCTACCTCTGCTACCGATTAAGAATCAAATACTCAGCCTCAGCCCATTCCCAGAATGTTGAGTCAGTGTCTTTGTGAGCTTGGGGCCGGCATCAAGTGACTGAGGCCCCAGCCCTAGGCACAGCAGTTTTTCAGGAATGTGACCATCAGAGGCCCTTTGGAGTCAGTCTCAGTCTCAAGTAAGGCAAAAGCCTTACAGAAAATAGCTTAGGCTGAAGTGCAGAAGAGGAAGTAAGAGCCCCATTTCATAGATAAGGAAATGGAGGCCCAAGGCCACAGCACACAATGGTGGAGCCTCAACTTGAGTCTGGCCCTCAGGCACTGCAGACCCACCCTCTTCCCGGATATGTAATTGAGCTAAGCCATGTGTGGCTCCGAGTTCTGCAGCCTTGGAGATGAATCTCGGAGGAATCATTGGGCTCTTCACACGGGTTCTTCTTGTGATCGAGTGATAGAGGCTGTGGCTTTATTGACCATGAAAACTCCCTATATTTTTATGCCTTAAGCTGTAAAATGCATTGAAAGTGAAACACTCTACAGTGCATAAAATTGTGCAAGTTTTAAGCCACAGCATATTAACCAGCTAATGGCAGACCAAAGGGCGTTTTTATCTTTTGATTATTACATTAATCTTCCATTAAAATTATCTATGTGATTATCACAAAGCACTGAAGATAATAAATTTAGGAAATAGTTGGCTTGTTAAGGATCATTTTAAAATGCTTTTGTCAAATTATATGTGCCAAAAATATACTAAAAATACTAGGTTGGCTGAGTGTGCAAACAGTATAATCCAGAGATTGCCTTTATTAAGAATGATCAAACCTCCTGTTTCCATACATTGTCTGCATTGTCCCAGATCGTCCACTCAGCCCTGTGGTCCTCATGATTTATTGCTCTCAGCTGGTAACTTGGCGAAGCAGTGGTCGAGCATGTCAGGCCTTCTGTACCCACACACCAGTCTGTACCGCATGCTGCTGGGACGATCAGAGCAGAAAGTAAGGCAGGACATTGTGGGGCCTGGGCCCCAGGTGGCTGCCATCTCTGCTCCTCCTCCAGAGCCGCCAGGTCCTGCTCAGAGCCACAGAGGCCCCTCCCTCTGGGCATAGGACACATGGCCCTGAGTACAGGCTGCATGGGAGGAGGCTATCCACTGTAACCCAAAGGTTTGGGTTTTAGCATAACTTTAGAAACTTGAGGGTGAAAAGAGATGACATTTCTTCACAAAGAGCCCCAGCCAGAGAGCAGCAGGGTGAGGAGGTAGGGAAGTCCTGACTGAGGGATGTTACCTAGTGTGGGAGTTGTGCATATGGCCTCACACCCACCCAGTTGTTCATGTAAGCAGCATACAGCCAAGCTGTGCACACTCCACACAGCTGTGACCCTGACTTCGGTGTCTTTGGCCACCTCAGCCCTCCTCTCAGAGCCTCACTTCCCTTTTTGTCAAATGGACCATGGCTGGTGGGGTGCTTGTGACCATTACAGGAATCCGTGGTAGGAACCCCTTGCTGTAGGAGGAGGCTGGATACAGCACTTCACTGTGGTTCCCACTATGATGTTTGTCTTTCAGATGTGGAAAGCGAGGCCAGGGAGCTTATGCTAGCCCAAGGTTGCAGAGCAGGTCAGGAGCAGAGCCAAGAGGCCAGGGGTAGCCCTCTGGAGGCAGCCCATGCCTTCCACGGAACACCGGCTCAGGGATCAGAGAGCCCTGCCACACTTGTCATCTCTGTTGGAAAGCAGGGGTCTGTCTCACCTGCCGGTTCTGTGCTGCCTGGACTCTAGCCAGGAGGGAGCACCTGGTCCCAAGGTCCCCAGCCCAGGGCGGAGAAGCTCCTCCACCCCTGCTCAGCCCTGATGAGCAGTGAGCACTGGCAAGTGATGGCTGTTTCATCTTGCTTTCTAGGTTAACTACATCCTGGAATCACGAGCGAGCACTGCCCGGGCTGAGTACTTTGCTCAAAAACAAAGAAAACTGAACAGACGTACAAGCTTCAGCTTCCAGAAGGAGAAGAAATCAGGGCAGCAGTGACACTGGCCTCCAGCCTCAATCTGTCGCCACAGCTCAGAGCCTGCCTGCCAGAACCAGGTGGTCTGAGAGCCCACCCCGTGTCCTGCACGGCTTGGGGGAGGCCAGCCAGAGCTCACAAGCAAGGGTTGGTGGGCTGTTAGGGAAGGTGTGGGGGTGGGGGGCACCCTAGGCTAGAGCAGAGGGGACATTGCCATAGGACCACAGCCTGATTGGTAGTGGCTTTGAGTGGTAGTGTCCAGGGACCAGACCACCCCTGGAGGAGCCACCTGCTGCCCAGCCATCTTCACTGCCCGACAGCCCTGCCGAGGATGTACATAGCCATGCCAGACATCTTGCAACTTGATCAAATTTCTTAAAGCAAACCAAGAACAAAAATGTACATTTCTTTTTTTCCTTTTAATAAACAGGTGTACTCTTTATCATGGTTGGTATGATGGACCATTCTTTGGGGTAGAGAATTAATTATGTTATTCTCTTTAAAATCTGTTCCCATATTGAACAGGCAGATTGGAAAAGCTATGGTTCGATTTCTCAGAAGAAATGTTTAGGGTTTAGTCGATAGTTTTAACTAGGCCATTTGTTTAAGTGAGCACATTTGTTTTGAGGAGGGGATTTTTACTAACAGCTAGGCACGAGGACCTAGCATTTTGTGTCCACAGCTGGGTCATCTTCCCCTTCAAAAGCCTTATCTCCTCAGACTTCAGACAGGGTGGGAGGATGAAGGGTGGGTGACAGCTCCTGCCCAGAGCGGTCTTTCCATTTCCTAAATAGCACATGTGAGTTTCTGCTGACAGGCCTGTGTGCAGGGTTTCTGAACCTGGAAGAGTCTGCTTCACTGTCTTTGAAGGGCCCCATCTCCTCATCCTCCTCCCCTACAGTACCTGCCCGAGTGCATGGGCAGAAGCCTCTGCTGACCACTGTGTCACAGAGAGAGTAGCAGAGGGAGGCCAGTGGTCGGGCACCCAGGCCCCATACCTCTGGCCACACCATATGCCTCTGCAGGCCTGGCCAGGCCCCTCCCATGGTGACATCCTTGGTTGTGTTCCCAGCCAGGGCCAAGGACCAATGTCTCACTGAGGACCTGCATTTAAGACACTTTTTAAATCATTGGTACAGGATGATAAGCAGCATCTCAAAGTCAAGTGTGTTTCCTTGCACAAAGGGCCATTTTAATGGATTCCTCTTTCTTTTGATCTTTGTTCAGCCGACAGGAACACCCTTTTCTAAAGTCTTCCACTTCTGCTCCCCGGAAATATTATTTGTAGCTTGCTATCTGTATTTGAATTTTTAGCAATTTTATATTTAGATATCTTTGAAAAATGTAAATGACTAATTTGGTCATTAAATCTTGTGACATTCGATATTAAAATGATATTAAAATAAAAGTCATAAATAGCCTCTTTTGCATGTTGCTTTGAATTGCTGAGGTCTTGAGTACACAATGCTGAAGACAGTCACTGCAGTGAATCTCTGGGATGACATTTGCTGGCAGTTGATGTCCCCAGCACCTCTGAGCTGCGTGAGGGCCACCTCAGGGACTGAGCAAGCCCAGATGGCCCCTTCACGGAAGGGGACAAAGAAGCCATCTCCTCCAGCTACAACATCGATGCATTCCTCACTGTGGACCCACCACTCAGTTCACAGAAAATGTAGGTCCAGTTCAAGGGAGAGTTTAAAGGGACTGTGTGACCACTGCCAGCACCCCCCCACCAATACCACAGTCGTGCTCTCCCTCCCCATGCCCGGGGCACAAACCTCTCACACCCTCTACACCTGCACCAGGCTTGCAGAACAGGGTCTCAGGGTGTGCCAGTTAAGCCAATGTGACTCGAGGCCCCTCCCACTTTCCAGCAGGTCTTTTGACCTGGTGCCTCTGTGTACTCTACTCGATGTGATGCAGAAAGCCACAGAATTGATTGTGCAGGACTGGGCCTCTAAACACAGTGAGGGACCACAGTGTGGGTAGCCTGAGTGGCCTGGGCAGTGGGTCCCTGGAACCCTGAACTCGGCTGGCCACTGTGAACCACGCCATCGTGTAAGAGTCCACTGTATACCGGGTATTCACCCACGCATCTCCCAAAGTCACTGGCAGGTTCTGTCACCTCCGTTTCAGAGGTGAGAGCTCGGGCCATAGGCACCAGCCTATAGTCATCAGCCCCATGCACACTGATACCACGACCCTGCTCTTCACCTCCATAGCCGTGAGACTCAGCTGGTTCCTGCCTGAGCCGGGTCAGATGTGCTCTGCTGGCCTCTCCAGATGTCTTCCATGCCTCAGAATCACCCTGAGCTGTCCTTCCAGTGGTTTCTGCAGACTAACCTCACCCCCAGGCAGAACGCAGTCTCCGAGCCTCTGTTGGTGAGGCCCTGGTCAGGGCCACTCACTGCTGCATGTCACTCTTCCCTGCTGACGCTCACTGGCTGGCTGCAGTGGGCCAGAACTCCCCCAGCTCAGAGGCCCAGACCCACTCCCACCTGCCCTGCTGCCCTTGCCCCCAGCTCTGTGCCCCATAACACCTGTCCATCTGGTTCTGAGTCTTCATCTAGTCAAAAGACTGGGAAGTGGTCCCAACCCTGCCATATCCCTCAAAACCTGCCATCTGCTTCCTCAGGCTCAGGGGTGATGGGATGAAAGACCTCTGGTCATCGACACCTCAGTCTGCTGAGGCCCAAGGGTGGGCAGGTAGCCCTGAGGTCATTCTGCAAGGAGCTCTGTGCAAGCCCAGCATGCTCCACGAGGTGCCAGGCCTCAGCCACAGGTGTGAGGAGCCAGCATGGCCCATGTCAGCCTTCCTAGCCCTGTTGAAGGGAAAGCACAGCTGCCTGGTGGACCCTTGGCATACGCTGTGACCCAACACCACTGCCTCTCTTGGAACTCCATGACACCTGTGCCAAGATGGTGTTAGCCAAGCCAGGAGGATGGGACATGGCTCCTGCAATTATCCAGGGGAGTAGACAGTCCCACCCCTGCCCCCACCCCACCCATCCAAGGGGAAAACCCAGTTCTGCATGGCCCAGGTGGAGTGTCCACAGCTTCTGTGTCTCCAGTGGGTAAGTCTGAGGCTTATTCCAATGGAGGGGAGCCCCAAGATTGGGAAAGGAGGACGGAAGTGGGGAGAAGAGGTTTCTGCCTCCGCTGAGCCAGCCCTACCCACCATGGTCCTCCACAGGCAGTCCTGGGAGGATCTGTCCCAACTCCTGGCAGAGGCTCCTGCCACCTGCCCCTTGCCAGTGCTGCCCCCTGGGTGGTGTTCTTCCAGCCGGGGCTGTGAACAAGAGAAGGAAAAGGGAGGGCCCTCCTCCAAGCTCAAGGTGAAGCCTCAGAGCACAGACCTGGAATCAAATCCTGGCTCCCAGGTCTAGGGCTGTGACCGGAGCACAGTACCTCAGGTTCCCACCTTGGAATTGGGGATAGCCAATAGACTCCACCCCAGAGTGTTCCTGGGGACATCAGTAAAGAGTGAAGGACCCTCAGGGGTTGGCTTAGTGCCCTGGGCTTCAGGCTCTGGGTCTAGGTGCAAAAAGCCTGTCTCCTGTACTTATTCGCCTCACACCTCCAGGTAAGTGACCCCTCCGTGCCTCAGCGTCTTCATGCGTAAAGCAGGATGAAAGTGCTATGTCCCGGGGATGGAGTGAAGTGTCAGTGGGACTAGATGCCCAGAGCCTGATGCTCACATCCTTGACCCTACAGCTGAGATGTGACCTGTCATCGTTTATCCAGTGGCCTAAGGTGACAGGTTCTGTCCTGGTGGTGCTCCCCAGAGAGGGAACCCCAGCTGAGCACCTAGAGTCCAATACCAGGGGCCTCTGTGCCCAAGAAGGAGGGCTCACAGTAGCCAGGCCTCAGCCTCTGCCCTGGAGACGGAAAGCTCTGCTCTGGGGCTGCAGAATGGGCCTATGCCACACACTTTAGTCAAGGCTGAATGTTTTACGTCCTCTGTGCCTGGGTTTAAGGACTGGTCACCACAACTGCCCACCTGGGGCTGCTCAGCAGATGCGGCCCCTGGGGCTCAGCTTTCGTATCTGTAAAGTGGAGCCACTACCATGCTTCCCAGGCTTAACAGACAACACCGCGGTGCCTAGGTCAGGTTTGCTTCCAGAAGAGCTGGGAGCGGAACTTGCGTACTGTGTGGTGCTCAGAGCGGTGGACTCACAAGAGTCACATGGTAGAAACAACCTGTGTGTCCCTGGACCAATAAATGCATAAGCAAACTGAAGCATAGTGAAACAATGGAATATTATTCAGCCTTCAAAAGGAAGGGAATTCGGACACCTGTTACAACACGATGACCCTTAAAGACTTTACATTAGGTGAAATAAGCCAGTCACAAGAGGACAGATACTGTAGGATTCCTCGTTATGATGCCCCATTCACAGAGATGGAAAGAGGGAAGGTGGCTGTGGGGGGCAGGGGAGAGGATGGGGAGAAAGTGTTAGATGGGCTTGGAGCTTGAGTTTGGGTTGAGAGAAGAGTTCTGGAAGTGGGGAGTGGCCATGATCGCCCACATTGCAAATGTGCCAGATGCCACAGAAGTGTATACTTACCCATGGTTCAAATGGTAAAACTGTGGAACACTTTACCAAAACAAGATAGGGAGCCACTGGACACCTGGCACCCAGTTCCCCCTGTCTCTGTCACAGGATCCTCTCTCTAGTTGTCCTCTGCGTCCACCATCTTCCACCTGCCCACCCTTCACCAACTGGTTTTGTGCAGGGTGGAACACGCACTGCGTTCCAGCTCCACCTCCTGGTTGGTGTGCCCGAGTGACTCTACTTCCTTGAGCCTCAGTCTCCCCTTCTAACGCCTCCCTTTATTCATCTTCCTAAAAGTCACCACAGATTTTTCAACTGCCAAAGGAACCAAACTAGCGCCTTTGGAGGGGTGGGGGGGGATGCTCTTCCTAGTCAGGACGGGCCAGGCCTTGCTGCAGTGACAAATAGTCCCCAAACCTCAGTGGGTAGGCAGAGCAAAGTCATCTCTCTTCACGTGGTCAGCCGTGGGTCCAACGTCCTCCTCGGGAGAAGAGCAGCATGACAGCGCCGTGGGAAGGGGCACACCTCTACCAGCGTGTCATTACCCAGGGTCACATGGTGGCACCTACTCCAGCGGGTCAGCAAATGTAGTCTCCAAGGACTGAAAGTCATAGACGTGCTTCCCAAGGGTCCTGCTGGCCCCAAGGCCACCCTAAGGTAGCACCTTGTCTGGGGCTTAACATTTGGCTTTCGCTGTCACTTGAAGCCGCATTCTAAGGGCACACAGGCACTTGCTGAGCGGTGCCTGTGTTCTGGTGCGCTCCCAAATAAATTCATAGCTGCTCAGACAGAAACATCCGTCCCTGTTCCCCTAAGGCCATGTCGCATGGGGCACAGTTACACATCCCTGGTGGCAGCTGTCCCTGGCTCTCAGCAGGCCTCCAGCAGC